GCTCCGCTCCCGCACGGGGCCCCGGCCCCACCAGCGGCTGGAATTCGTTTCCGTGGGGTTTTCGGTGGTGCCTCTTCCCGCGGCTCTTCGGGGGACCCCGTTATCCCCCGTTATCCCCCGTTATCCCCCGTTATCCCCCGTTTCGGTCCCTTTGCCGAGCTGCTGGGGGAGGCAGGCGGGTCCCTTGAAGCAATTTCACCGCAGCAGAGGGGAGGAAAATCCCGGTCGGGAGCATAGAGCCGGTGCAGGGACAGGGATGGGGACACGCAGGGTCTGTCCCACCACCGTATCCCGAGTCACGCCGCCGGTTCAGGGTCGCTGGGTCACTTCTGTGGCCTCGGAATCCCTTGATTAAGGAAAAAAAATGAGGTGCCTAAACCACCGTGGAGCAACATTGCCCCAGAACAGCTCCCTGCTCTGAGAGGGGCCACCAAACTGCCTTGGTCATGACAATGTCATTCCTGTGCTGACTGATGGATATCAAGAATTAGCAGGAAAGAATCCAACGAGAAATAATTTTATTATTATTATTATTATTATTATTATTATTATCATTATCATTATCATTATCATTATCGCTATTTGTATATCTATGAATTCTATTATTATTAATAATAATAATTATTATTATAGTTATTTATGCGCAAAAATTGGCAGAAAGAAAAATAGATGAGGCTGGGCTGCTGAAAACCATCCTTCTGTGGTTTTCCCGCTGCCCCAGCCCGAGCCCTGCCAGCCCTAAGCCACCTGCTTTCACGTCGTGACAGATTTGGGACCTGATCGTGCCTCAGTGACACAGAACACAGCCCCCTCCGAGCCAAAGGAAATTGGGCAGGGAACCCCTTCCCAAGAGCCAGCCAGGGTCTCCCCCCATCACCCAGCAGCACCTCGATATTTCATCGTGTGTGAGAGGAAAATCCGTGACATTTCAATTTTTAATCACTATTAAATCACAGTTTTTCCTCTCTCTTTAGCCATCAGCCTCCCTATTTTAGCAGAAGCTTTTCCAGCATCTTTTTTTCCTGCAGGATTTTGGGGAGCCGAGCTACCTCTCCCCCCACCCCCGCCAAAGACCTTGCTCAGCCTTGCAGACGGGATGGTTAAAAATAAAATCCCGAATATTATTTATGAATATTGTTTTGCAAATCTCACCGAAGTCAAAACTTGTGCCAAAGCCTGCGGGAACAGTGCCCGTGTGCCGGCAGGCTCTGGCCAAGGGGCTGGAGAGGGGGGAGTGATTAATCGCCGCCGAGAAAGTCGTTTGCCCGCAGCAGAGAAATGAATTGCAAGGTTTTTTTTTGCATGTGAAGGAATGAGGTTTCCTCCCCGCAGAAAGACTTTTGAAGGAAGCCCAGCACTGATGCTTTGCTCGGGTTCGATGCAGGCTCCGGTACCGGCGGACCGGGGCCGCCTTTGTGATCCCCTTTTCCCCCCCGCATTCCCGGGCTCCCATTCCTCAGCATCCATCCCTTCCCCCCCAAAAAAGCAGAATACAGCCCCAGCATCCATCCCTTCCCCCCAAAAAAGCAGAATACAGCCCCAGCATCCATCCCTTCCCCCCAAAAAAGCAGAATACAGCCCCGGTATCCATCCCTTCCCCCCCAAAATAACTGAACACAGCCCCAGCATCCATCCCTTCCATCCCTTCCATCCCTTCCATCCCTTCCCCCCCAAAAAGCAGAACGCAGCCCCAAAGCCGGGGGTGTTTCGGAGCTCATCCCCCGGCGCTGCCCCCTCTCTCTTTCAGAGGGGGTTTTGCTGTCTCAGGGATAACCGAGTTTGTTTCGTTTCGATCGTTCTTTCTTTAATTTTTCCCGTCGGGGAGAGAGGCGGGGGACTGGGGAGATGGACCCGCCGCTAATAAATCTCGGTGCTCAGGCCAGAGCCCCCGGGCGTGGGAGGGGAGCCGGGGGATTGCGGATCTACCCACGGCCTTTAATGGGATCGGGCCAAATCCCGCCCGGGAGGCTGCCGGGGATGCACATGTGCCGTCCCCTCCCGGGAACGTGGCCCCGGGACAGGGGGGGACACCCCAAAACTTCTCTCCCGAGGTTTGCACCGAGGCCGCTGCACCGCCGGGTGGTCCCCGGGTGGAGAGGGGGGACCCCGCTGCTGTGTCCCCCCCACCCCCCAAAACATCCTCTGCTCAGAGCCAGGAGGGCAAAGACAGAGAGGGAGCAGCTCGTTCCTCGTGTACCAATTGTCCCCATTAACTTTATTCCCGCTCTATAAAATAATTCAGTTCGAACGAGTGCGATAAATGCGAGGCACGGAAGGAGCTGCCGGCGTGGCAAAGCACAAAGCGGGGTGCAGGGCTTGAATTTTAGATGTTTTCTCTCTGCAAACCACAGAGACATCTCCTGGTTTCCCTGGCAGTTCTCCTTTTTGTTATTATTGTTATTATTGTTAATTATTGTTATCCCTGGGTGTGCACAGAGGCATCATTGCACCCACAGGCGCCTGTGCGTGGGGTTGGTACCGCGCATCTACAGCGAATTTTGAAGGAAAACCGGTCTCTTCTTTTTTAAAAAATAGATTTTTTCTTTAGAAATTTGAAGGGAGATGTTGTATTCTCGGCTGCAGATATTTACTTGTTGAAATTGAGCTGCGTCGCTGCTTTTTTGGAAAGGACAAGCTCTTTGTTGGCTTGTGGGAGTGAAGGATGGGTGCATGGAAATCCACACGTGTTTACATAAATAACCATTTAGACACAAAACCTGGTTCCTGAAGGTGCAGGAGAAGGATTTCCCGGTGCTCTCAAACCAAATTTAACAAATCCAGCATGGAAAACGTGGCTGGTGCCGACCTGCAGCAGCTGGAGGGAAGGGAACGAAGCGTCCAGATGTTCCCAAAACAAGAAGGGAAAGAGGGACCTCTGGAAGCCGTAGAATTATTATTATTATTATTAATTATTTTTAATTTCTCGCGTGGTTAATGCTGCAGAGGCTCGAATGGCAGCGATAGCTGTGGTGTGAGGGTTTGTAATGGATGGAATCAGCTGCCTTCACGTGGGGCTCGTGGCAGGACCCCAAAGGATTTTGGAATAATGGTGTTTGAGGCTGTAACAATATGAGATTTTCCTGTGATCTTTTCCTCCTTCCCCCCACTCCTCCCCCCCTTTATTTCCTTCTTTGCCCGCTCGTTCCTCTTCCCCCCGCCTTTCTTTTCTATTCCCCCTCTTTTTCTTCCTTTCCTTCCTCTTTCCTTCCCTTTCTCTTTCTCTCCTTTTCCCCTTTCCCTTTTTTTCTCTTTCCTTCCCTTGTACCATTCCTTTCCTCTCTCACGATTTTTGTTTCTCCTCTTTTTGCTATTTTTTTTTGTTTGTTTCTGCTTTATTTTCTCCTTTTTCCCGTTTCCTTTTTGAATCTTTCCTTCCTTTCCCTTTTTAAAAAATATTTTTACTTCTTGTGGTTTTTTTTCGGTCTTAAATATTTTTTCTTTTAAAAAAATCTTCCCCCTTTTTTGTTTTCCTCATTTTTTTATCTATTTAGTTTTTCCTTTTTAATATTTTCGCATTCTGTACCTTCCTTTCTTTTTTAAAGTATATTTTTTATTTTTAAATGATTTTCCTTTTTCTTAATCTTTTTCCGTTTTCATATTTTTTTATTTTTTCTATTTTTTCTTTTTAAAAATCTTGCTTCCTTTTAAAATTCACTTCTCCCTCTCTTTTTTGGTTGCTATTTTATTTATATTTTTTCTTTTTAAAAATCTTGCTTCCTTTTAAAATCCCTTCCCTTTTTTTGCTGCTTTTTTATTTATATTATTTTTTCTTTTTTAAAATCTTGCTTCCTTTTAAAATTCCCTTCCCCCCCTTTTTTTTGCTGCTTTTTTTATTTATATTTTTTTCTTTTTAAAAATCTAACTCCATTTTAAAATTCCCTTTCCCGCCCCTTTTTTTTCCTGCTTTTTTATTTATATTTTTTCTTTTTAAAAATCTAGCTCCCTTTTAAAATCCCTTCCCTTTTTTTGCTGCTTTTTTTATTTATATTTTTTCTTTTTAAAAATCTTGCTCCCTTTTAAAATCCCTTCCCTTTTTTTTGCTGCTTTTTTTATTTATATTTTTTCTTTTTAAAAATCTTGCTTTCTTTTAAAATCCCTTCCCCTTTTTTTGCTGCTTTTTTATTTATATTTTTTCTTTTTAAAAATCTAGCTCCCTTAAAAATTCCTTTTTTTTCCGCTTTTTTTTTTTTTTTTTTTTAAGTGGGTTTGGTTTTTTTTTTTTTCTTTTTTAAACCTTTTCCATTTCTTTTTTTTCCCCCCTCCCAAATCCATCTCATTCCATCTGTGCGGGGCAACCCCTGCTCGGTGCTTGTGCCATTCCAGTGGCAGAGAGCAGGATGCCTTGAAAAAAGGGATGCAGGGAGGAAAACATGTGCGTCAAATATTTGCAAAGGGAGATGCGCTGGAGCACCGAGGGGTTGAGAAGTGACATCTCCTCACCCCAAAAACCCCCAGAAGGTGCCGGGACAGAGCTTTGGGAGCTCTCAGGGTGGTGTCGGTGGCTGACGCTGCTCTTCTCTCCATCCCCCCGAGCAGAGATCCCCCAGTGCGCCGGCTGTAACCAGCACATCCTGGACAAGTTCATCCTCAAGGTGCTGGACCGCCACTGGCACAGCTCCTGCCTCAAGTGCGCCGATTGCCAGATGCAGCTGGCCGATCGCTGCTTCTCCCGGGCCGGCAGCGTTTACTGCAAGGAGGATTTCTTCAAGTGAGTACCCCTGTCCGAAATCAGCACCTCCCTGCTCGCCCAGCAAGCGCACAGCCTGAATTTATGCGTCGTTTCTTCAGGATTCTTCCTGCAACTTGTTTGTTGTTGTGGAAATGAAGGGAATGTCGGTGCTTTGCAGCTGCTGCCGGCTGGATGATGGGAGCTGGGATTTAAGCACGGGGAAGCTCCAAATCTTCCCTGGTGCTGCTGTCCCTGCCCTGCGCTGCTGTTCGGGTCCCCGGGGATGACATCCTGCTCCGCTCGGAGCTAGAGGGCAGGAGAAACCCGTGCGAGGCTCTTCCTCCCGAGTGGCTCCCTCGCCTCCTCGGGATTTGCTGATGCTGTTTCTCTCCCTTCACCTTTTACCTTTTTTTTTTTTTTTTTTTTTTTTTTTTTTTTTTAATCTATCCTTTTTTTGCTCCCATTAGCGTGAAAACCTCGTTTGGTTGCCTTGGCAGCTGCCTCTGAGCTGTGCGATGCCCCAGCCTTGGCATTTCCCCGCTCCCATGAGACAGGACAGCCCGTTCCCCATTACAAAAATGGACTTTGCCTTTAGGATGCTCTGGGCCTTGGCTGCCGGTGAAATTTGGGAGTTTTCCCGAGGGATAGGGAAGGTTTTTTTGCTGGGATTGAATTACAGTGAAGCAGAGGGATTGGATCCTGGCCGGTGGGTGCCTGGATTCAGGACTCAGCCCTAAGGCAGCTGCTGCCCCTCGGGGACTAAAGCCACCTCCTCTTGCCATCATCTCCCCTCCGAGCCAGCCCCACGGGCTGTCCCCACCGGCCTAAAGCCACCAGGATCAGTCCCTAGACAGGACTGCCCCTGCCTTCCCATCCCCAGGCTCTCCCAGATCCTCACCAGGACCAAAGATGCAGCTTGGATTTCTCCTTCCCGGAGCCGGTCAAAGCGGCCACTCCAGCCTGGGTAATAACACTTCACTTCTGATATTTTCCAGCCTATTAATCTCCGAGTCATTTAAATAGTCGCCCAAAAGGTGCGGGTAATCAATGTTAATTGGAGTTGAAAGATCAGCGACTTTCTCAGATGAGGTCCTGCCTGGATTATTTGGTGCCAATCAATAGCAGCTCGGCGCTCGCACCTCACCTTTCCTTAACCGCTCATTGATCTCGGGGTAGGGAACCTGCAGGGGACGTGAGGATTTCAGCCCAACTTCAGAGGCACTTGCCGATGCAGGAGCTGCTTTGGAAAGGATCAGATCGATTTTGGATTTTTTTCTTTTTTTCTTTTTTTTTTTTCCTTCCCCCAAATTGCAGCTCTTGGTCTTCAGCTCTGTCCTGGGTCCTCTGTCCCCAGATGATGTGGAAACACCCCAGGGTTTCAGGACAGTTGTTAAAATGGCTTTTACAGCATTCTGGGAAAGGGGCTGGATGGGCAGTGGGCTGCAGAGAGGGCACCAGCTCAGCCTTGGGAGCAGAAAAGCATCCTCTGTCCCTCCTATCCCTCTCTCACGCTGCCTTTCTCCTTCCCTCCATTCCCACCCTGCCTGCATCCCCCCCTTTATCCTCCATTCCATCATTCCTCCCTCCTCCTCTCTTGTCCATCTCCTCTCCACCCCTCTCCCACTTCCTCCCTCCCCATCTGGCTCCAGGAGGGCTGAGGTCTCCCCAGCAGATGTCCAGGGACTCTCCCTTTAGGATACAAGTCCAGAAAATGAGACAAACCGGGTTTTTCCTTCTCACTTTCCGCTTCCAAAACCCCGAAAATCGTGCTGGCACCACTCGTGCCCAGTGCCACCGCCCCTGGGTGACACCTGCGTGGCTCAGGGACAGTCAGAGACCCAGCTTTGGTGGCTGTGCCCTGGATTTCTGGAGGGGATGGGTAGCCACGAGGCTCGAGGCTGATTTTGCACGACTGGGGGATGTTCAGGCCTCAGGGGACAGTGAGAGGTGCCCGGAGTGGCTGCACTCCCTGGGCACTCCCCAGTGCCACTGCCTGTCCCTGCAGCCTTGGGGCAGGGGACCGGAGGGATTTGGGGGTTCCTTCAAAGGAGGTGGGGGCAGATTTATTCTGACAGCTTTGTCACCTGGGCTGCAGCAGCAGCAGGATGGCTCTGTGGGCTCTGGGGTGTTTGGGGCTGCTCTGGGGAGCAGGGGAGACCTCACAGAGCCCTGTGGTGCCAGTGGGAGGTGGGGACCTGCCCCAGGTCAGCCCCACAGCATCTGTCGCCCAAAGCAAAGTGGAATATCCACTTCCTTTTGACTTCTCGTGGCACATGTCACCCTTGTGCCATTGATTCAGTGAATTCTCTTCTTGCACACTTCCTGCACCATTCTTGCACACTTCTTTTCCCACTCTTAACCCTTGCCTTGCTGCCACGCTTCTCTCACGTCCCTTGCACACTCCCTGCAGCCGTGCTGGTGGCTTTGCTGGTGCCCCACACCCCTGTCAGGCCGTCCTTATGGTGTAAGAGCCCCATCATTCTGCATTAATCTGGGATTCATCATGCCAGAGGGGCGGTGTAATTAATTTATTTGGTATTAATGTGGATGAAATATGTACTGTCCTTGCAGGGGAAAAAAAAATCAGGCAGCCTATAAGCATTAGTTAAAAGAATCATTAAAATCAAAACCTTCCTGGGCTCCATTAGGCCGGTCTCTCACTCTGAGGAAGATAAACCCCCGCCGTGTGAAGTGTCATGCATAATAAGGTTGATCGCTGGTTTAAACTCTGCCCTGTCTGCTGCTCCCCCATCCCGGCAAGCCTCACCTGCCCGCGGGGCTCAGCCTTCGCCCGCTTCTCCCCGCAGGCGTTTCGGGACCAAATGCACGGCGTGCCAGCAGGGCATCCCCCCGACCCAGGTGGTCCGCAAAGCCCAGGACTTCGTGTACCACCTGCACTGCTTCGCCTGCATCATCTGCAGCCGGCAGCTGGCCACGGGGGACGAGTTCTACCTGATGGAGGACGGGCGGCTGGTCTGCAAGGAGGACTACGAGACTGCCAAGCAGAACGGTAGGAGCCCCAAAAAGGCTGCGAGGGGCAGGGCGAGCTCGGGCTGCCCCCGTGGCTCCCTGCGGGAAGGGCGGCAGGTTTGGGGAGATGTTCCCCGCTGGTTTGTGCTGCTGCTTGGGGCTGGTACCGCTTCCTTCGCTTGCAGATGATTCCGAGGCGGGGGCGAAGCGGCCCCGGACCACCATCACTGCCAAGCAGCTGGAAACGCTGAAGAACGCCTACAAAAACTCCCCCAAGCCCGCCCGGCACGTTCGGGAGCAGCTCTCCTCCGAGACGGGGCTTGACATGAGGGTCGTGCAGGTGAGGGTGCCCCTCTCCACCCTGCCCCAAGAGAAGGGACACACGGGAGCTGCTCTGGGCTGCCGGGGTTTAGGGGGGACTGGGGTTATTGGGGTGATGTGGGTGCCCGGAAGCTGGGCTGAGGGAATGATGGTGGGGCTGTGGGAGCAGGGGGGAAGGAGTGCTGGCATGAGGGTTTGCAGGGGTTTAGGGATGCCGGGCTGCATGGGGGTGTAGGTGTTGGCATAGCAGGATGGTGGTGTGCCAGGGTGCTGGCATGCTGGGATGCGGGGTGCTGGGATGGACGTGGGGGTGCTGGGATGGATGTACGGGTGCTGGGATGAATGTAGGGGTGCTGGAATATATGTGGGGGTGCTGGGATGGATGTGGGGGTGCTGGGATGGATGTAGGGGTGCTGGGATG